CCACTTTCTTAGTTGAATGTCCTTCTGGCTAGACATTTCATTTTAGCTGTGTTCCACTGTTAGATATTCATTTAGCAGTTTTGTATTCACATGGCAGTCACTTGTAGTCTGGCCACCCCTGTTATGGTAGCTAATATCTGAGTAGTATTTTTCAAATAAATATTACATGAATTCTCTCGCTCAACCTCAAACTAACACTAAAGTAGATACTATTACTGGCTCTTTTTATATGGATGAGGAAACCAAGATAATTTAGTATCTTACGTCAACCTTATAGTTTATTAAATGGTAGAGTCATGATTTGAACACAAGGTGCTTGATTCCATGTTAACTTTTAACTCTTATTCTCTACTGCCTGGTAAAAGAGTTCAAAATAAAATCTTAACTAGAGAGAATCACATAGGTAGTGATAATCTTATCAGCACTTGTAATGAAGTAGAACAAAGAGAAAAGGAAAGACAAACTGAAAAGTACGATCAGTGGAAAACTGTATGTAGTATATTCCAACATGAGTGAGGTCTGTCACTGAAAGAATAGTTGAGAAAGTTGCAAGAAGGAAGAACTTAGAAAGTTTGTGTGGAGAAAGAAGTTATCATTGTATTTATTCCTCATGTTCATCTGGCAGTATGCTGAGAATGTACCTCTTCTTTAAGCAGTTGCCAAGATATAACCATGATAGTACTTTTTTTTTTTTTGTACTGGGAATCAAATTGAGGTCCTTGCTCTTGTGAGGCAGGCGCCAGAACCACTAAGCTAAATCCCCCACCCTGTTCATTTTTGTAATAAAGAAAATCCAGGCCTGGGAATGTAGCTCAGTGGTAGAGCAATTGTCTACCAAGCATGAGGCCTGGGGTTCAATACCTGGCTGTTGAGGACAGAAGAGAAGAAAATCCAAACTTGGGTATGAACTTATAGAAATATTTTTAAAATAGTGTTAAAAAAATTGAAACTCTGAAGAGAAATGTAGGTTCTTTAGTAACATTTGTGTTCTATTATCTTTATATTAGGATTTTATTTTTAAAAAATAGTTATAGATTATGTCTAATATTTTCTGCCTGTGTACAATGGAAAACTTTCATGAGGTAAATATTTTTGTATTTAAGACAGCACAGATAGTATATTTATATGTGTTTGAACATCTGAGGAATAAAAGTACTGTTTGTATACATTTCAGGTAGGTAATAAATTTGGTACCCTTTATGAAAGCTTTGAGTATTCCCATCAGACTACATTTTAAAAGAGCCCCAAACCAGGAACTTTTAATTCATCAGAGATATAGTTGCATATTCCCTTTGGTACTTTTTACTACTTCATTACAAAATAGTAATTGTATTTTATTACCTATGATTAAGAATCTTTAATTTGTGAGAAACATTGTAATAAAGTACTTTAAAAAGAAAAGTGTAGGTTTTTAGTATACATCACTATTCTGCTGACTATTCTAGGTAAATTGCAAAGGTTTTTCTGGCTCCAATGGTTTTATATAATCTGGTTTCTAGCTAACTTTTTTTTATCATTACATGTTTGTGAAGCATAATGGTTACATTCATTGCAAATAGTTGGTACATATACATAACACATCTTAATCTTTTTACATCCTTTTTCCCACCTTCCTTCCCCCTACCTTCCTATCTTTTTTCCCTTTTCCTTTCTATCTGTTTGCTTTTATCTCTCTTTTATTTTGCTGTTTAATTTATTTATTCTTTGGGTTTTTCATATAAGAGAAACCATATGACATTTAAGTTTATGTGTCTGATTTATGTAACATTATGGTCTCAAGATACATCTACTTTCCTAAAAATGCGGCAAATTTATGCTTCTTTATATTGTGTATAAAATACCACATTTTCTTTAGCCATTCATCTGTTGATGGACATCTAGGCCACCTACTTAGCTACTATGAATTGTACTGTTAGAAACATTGGCATGCATGTATCACTATATGATATCTTTAACTCTTTCTAATGGATACCTAGAAGGAGAATAGCTAGGTTGAATGGAATTTCTAGTTTTGGTTTTTTAAAGGAATCTCATACTCATTTCCATAGTGGTTATACTAGTTTACATTACCACCAACAGTGTAAAAGGGCTCTCCCTCCCCTACTTGCCTCACATTTGCTATTGTTTGATTTCTTGCTGATGGCCATTCTTTGATGGTGTGTACAGAGTCTGGGGTGTGTGTGGGTGGGGGGGTACTGTGACCCAGGAGTGGTCTGATTGCCCCATATCCCCACACCACTGGATATTAGTCCAGCTAGATTTTCTTTTCATTTATTCTTCCATATGGGACTTTTATCTTTTGCCCCCGCCTCAGGGTATGTAGTACCTGCTTTTCTCCAGCATAGATTAGGTGACACCTTTGCTGTCACCCCATAGGTGACTATCATCTCTCACCCCTAGCTAACTTTTGACTTTCTTTTCTCATTTTTTATTGCTGTCTTTATTACAGTCACATAGGTAAAACTAGAAGTCATGGGAGCATACCAAGCATATTCCCACTTCAGGTCCTTGGTACTTCTTCCATTTACCATGAATATCCTTTTCCCACAGAGCTTATGGCTTCCTCCCTCAAGTCATGGAAGTCACTGCTCATATGACAACTCATTAGAGAGGCTTTACTATGACTATCCTAGTTAATGTAGTGTTCCCCACCACCACCATTACCAATCTCTACTCCCATCTGTTCATCTTGTTATGTAAACACTTTGGAGATTGTTTTGATAGTGTCAGCTCCTAGAAGGGGACAGGGATTTTATCTGTTTTTTTTCCTCAGTATGGCCCCAGAGGCTAGAATAAAGTGGCACTCAGTGATGGATGGTTAGATGACTAGGTGAATGAGTAAGTGGGTAGATGGATTGGAATTTCTGGATTTTGTTTAAAATAGGGGTGTGTAGTTATTAAGACACAATGATAATTTAGTTGATCTCTTATATCCTTCTAACTCTACCATTTTCAAAGTGTTTCTATACCCATATCACTTCATTTTCTCAGTGGTCCTCTCTGCTGTCATTATCCCCATTTTATAGATGAGAAATGTGACTTATTGGGCTGTATCTATTCCCAAGCACACAGGGCTGAGAAATACAATTGTGGAAAAAACAACCTAACTCTGATAGTTGTTAATGCTACTCCCCAAAGCTGTCACCTGTAGAAAACAGAATGTGTTACTGAGGAAGATGGTGAAATCTCCTTCTCTACAGTTTTAAAAATTTTTATTAGTACCTGTTTACAATACATAATGATTACTTTTATCATGGGGAGTTGATATCACATCTTCTTTTTACTTCCCCCTTCACCTCTCCTCCCTGCATCCTCCATCTCTACAGAGTTTTTGAAAGCAAACAAATGTAGAGTTTATAGCACAAATCAGTGGTAGAGCTCTGGGGTTATCTGATGGAGGAGCTGCTAAGTCAAATTCATTTCCATTTTATATTCCTTAAATTTTGTTTAGTGAATTAGTGGGGAGAAAATGAATTGGAGTAGAGGAATACCAAAATATATGCTTTGACCAGGAAAGAACCTCTGCTGAATTTTAGAACTGAAAATAACTCACAGTCAAAATTGAAAGTAGCTAACTTTCAAAATTATATCACCCTCAAATTATACATTCCTCTTCCCTCACATTCCTCAAGTGATAAAACTTCAGATAAAGAAAGTATACTTGTTAGCTTGTGGTCACCACAGTTAGTTGTTTACATATTCCTGGCACTGTCAAATTTTAAGTTATGTTATGTAATGGAGGTCCTATTAGAATCTATGAGATTGCCAATATTCCGTAGTACAGGATATCAAATGTTGCTCTAGTCTAGTATTCCTTTTTTCTTCCACTTATCTCTTGTTTTTCTGACTCTTAGCTCTCCTTTCTCAGGAGCTTCAAGTGGTAGGCAGGAGAACTCATCCACTTCTCTGTCTCCTGTACCAAAGAGCTACTTCAAGACATGGGCCATGTTTTTCTTCTTGAACCTTTATGTCAACAGTGTTCATCCCAGTATTTTCTGAGCCCAAAATAGGTGCTCTGAAAATATCTGAAACTGTTTAATTATATGAGTATATATTGAAAGATCTTTATTGTTTCTTTGTCCTAATGGTGAAAAATCTCATCAAAATTCTCATAGTTTAGATCCACATTGTCTTTTGAATTTGTGTGATAAACAATAATGATATTTTATTTTTGCCTGGACCACCCCTAAAACTGTATTCATGGTCCAGCTCTGTGACAATTTTAATGGTAAAATCAAGTTGCTATACATTATAAGCAGTGGTGTTCGTGAGGCTTATTTCAGGGTGGTGAGAACTAACCTTAGTGAAATAGATAGTGTTCTGTCTGGGGAGAAACTCATTTTCTCCTTCAGGTAGGAAGACCTCAATGTTGTGTTCCTGAAATTGAGGCAAGGGTGACCTAATGAATGGGTTCAGGAGATTGGTAAAGAGAGGAAAAGGAAAGGGCAAAAGCCTATTTAGACTTACATTTACTATTTCAGGAAAGAGTAAAGAATTATAGTGAGAAATTTAAAAAACATCAAAAATTTTAATTACTTCCCAGAATTTCTACTTTTATTAGCACGTCTGCAGTACATAATGATAATTCATCATAGTGAATTGGTGCATATATATAACACATCTTAATTCTTTTCATGTCCCCTTAATCTTCCAACATTTTTACTTCATTATCTATTCTACGTGAAGAGTAAAATTCATAGATGAGAAGAACTATGAGCTTGTTTTCAGGGGTTCAGCTGGGAAGAGGCAAGTAGGAAAGCTATAAGCTGACTTCCCCTTCTGTACTTGGGCTTTAGGTGGGAGATGGCAGTCCCCCAGACTGAGTGGGTAGTGTTGGCTAAAAGAAAAGAAAGAAGCTGACTAACACAATACAGAGATGGAAAGCTTGAAGGCTAAAATGGGTGTCAAGAGTAAGGTTTCTCCTGGGGAATTGGCAATCCTAAAATGTTAAGTTTTATGACAGCTGAACCAGGTAAATATGATTTTTCTTCCCTGCATAGAATGTGAAGACTGTGTCTGAGACCCCTGCAGTGCCACCAGTTTCAGAAGATGAAGATGATGATGATGACGCTACTCCACCTCCAGTGATTGCTCCACGCCCAGAGCACACAAAATCTGTGAGTCTTTGGGAACCTGGACAGCTTTCTGATTTATTAGAGAAAGGAAGCATAGGGAAGGGGGATGGTGCTAAGGTGTAGAAGTTTAATATTCTGGTAGGAGGCCTTAAATTTTGAACCTGGTGAAATCACTGAACTTTTCTAAAGGTACTTTCTGTATTATTATTAGTATTTATATATATATTTTTGGTACCATAGATTGCTTGTGAGGCAGGCAGTGGCAACACTGAGCTAAATCCCTGGCCTCTACTTTCTGTATTAGTAAAGGCAAGAAGTGGTATATTTATCATTGCTTTGCAGACAGACCCAAAGTATCCTAGTTAATTGGTATTTATACTAATCCTTGTTTTTACTTAGCCTGTTTTCCACTGATAGGACAGGAAGATACACAGAATTGGCATAACTTAGTTCAGGATAACATAAATTATTCTAGTCTCCTGGGAAGCAGCAAATTATCTTGCTACAGATTTTTTCTTCACTGTTAAATATGCAGTGCTCAGCCTTTTAGAGCATTATTGATGATACTGAAAGACCCAAGAGATTTTATAAATACATTAGTGCTATTAATATGCTGGAGAGTAGTAGTGCACTTTGATGCCGGATGTTGGCAGTGATTTCTATTTGACTTCCTTTGAGATTCCTCAGAATAACACAGTCCCTCTGCTGTCACTTACCACAGTCTGTTCTTATGTTTTTTACCTGATTTAGTATTATTGAGCACTGGCCTCCCATCAGATAATATTTTACTAGTGTTTCTTTGTTTAGGCTTTTTATTACAATGAAAGCTCAATAATGAAAGAACTATGTAGGATTTAAGCTCTGTGCTAATGCACAAACAAAAGGCTGCCTCTGAAATTAAGCATCAGAAGTTGGTTGAACTGGGAAATGCTGTGAAGGAAATCCAAGGGGATTGAATAGCCTCTTAGAGTGAGAGTTTTTGTTTTGCAAACATTTTAACTTAAAACATGTTTTCTTTTAAACTTTGAACTCCTCTAACATAGAGAATCCACAGATACTTAATTTTAGTGCTTGTCATATTCTTTGAAAATACCAGTTGGCAAAAACAATGAATAAAGGAGCTGGGTATTGTGGTGTATCCTTGTAATCCCAGCACTCTGGGAGGCTAAGGCATGAGGATTGCAAGTTTGAGGCTAGCCTGGGTAACTTGACAAGAACCTATCCCCAAACAAAAAAAATTTAAAATGGCTGATGATGAATAAAGGAATGGATTGATAAATTTGATCTTAGCATTTCTTTTTAAAAAGGTATCGTTGCCAGTTCACAGAAGCAGCAGCTGAGATATGGAGAGGTAAATTGATCTACCTGTAGTCACTTAGCAAAAGAGTGTTTGAAAATAGGTAATTAACTATAAGCCATGTTACTTTCCACCATAGCTTTGTGGCATTTGTTTATATACAGACCTGCAGTGGGAACCAGATAAGAAGGATGTTAGATAAAGAAAAGGCAGGGTTGTGCCAGGGATTTAGCTCAGTGACACTGTACCTGCTTTCCAAGCACAAGTCCTGAGTTCTATTTCTGTTTACCCACCCCCAAAAAAAGAAGAAAAGAAAAGGCAGTATTAAGAGAGGACAAGACATGAAGTTTAGGTGCCTAGGACATAGTTTGTCCGTAGGTACAAGAATAAAAAAATTGAAAAATGGTGCGAAAATAGTCAGGAAGCCAGTCCAGCTGAGGGATCTCAATAATTTATTAATTGATTTCATCAGACATTTACCAGAATGTTTGCTTTTTGTTAGGTAAGTGTTTAGAACTCAGGGATGAATTCTTATACAGCTTATAACTATCCAAAAGATAATTATGATATTTTTATGATAACATGATAAATATCTTGAAGCATGAGATAAATACTTGAAAGTATAACTTAGGATCAGTTCTGAACATCAGAAGTGTGTAGTTGCTCATTTCATTTGACATTTATTCCTTTCTCCCTTGTAATATGACTTTTCCACTTCCTTTACCAGAATGAGAGTAAGGGGGCAGAATTTTACAAAGGTTTAGACTTAGAGTAGATATTCAGCAAATATTTTTTAAGTAGATGGATGAATAGAAAATATAATGTTTACAAAGCCAAAATTTGAGTGCTTAATATGTGCTGGACATGATTCCAATCATTATCACAAATATTAACTAATTTATTTGTAGAACACCTCTATAAGATCGATGTCGTTATTTTCACCATTTTACAGATAAGGAAACTGAAGTACAGAGAAGGTAAATAACTTGCTTCAACTCATGCAGATAGTAAGAATAAGAGCTAGGATTCAAGCCCAAGCAGTCAAGTTCCAGAGTTTGGGTTCTAATTCACTACACCTTTGCCTCTTAAAAAAAAAAAAAAAAAAAACTAGTTGCTTCTCTGAAAGGGTTCATGTTCTAAAGAGGGAGTGATTCAGTGGAAGATATGTTAAGTGTGGTATTAGCAGCACCAAGTGCTATGATGCAAGATTTCATTTCATCTTGAGAAAACATAGAATGTTATAGATGAAGGGAGCTCCCATCTAAGAATGGAATCTCTTCTGAGAATTGCATATCCTCCTCTGAATATCTTCAGTGCTAGGATTCTTTTGACCACTTTTGTATATAATAAGAGCAAGGAAAGCCATTTCTCATAGTAGATGGGCATGGGCACAGAGGAGGAGCAATATCGATTTTGACAGTAGAGAAAGGATGCATATTTAGAGAATTGTTCTGTGGATGTTCTAACCCCATATCTAGAAGAGATTCTGTTCTAATAAAGACTTGTTTTGCCAAAATTTTGCACCATTAATGCAGGTATACACACGGTCTGTGATCGAACCACTTCCTGTTACTCCAACTCGGGATGTGGCCACATCTCCTATATCACCTACTGAGAATAACACCATTCTGCCAGATGCTTTAACTCGGAATACTGAGAAACAGAAGAAGAAGCCCAAAATGTCTGATGAGGAAATCTTGGAAAAATTACGTAAGCACTTTGTAGTTTTCTGAACCTTCATTTGGTCCATGACTGTTCAATCATAGAGATGGAATTCTGCTGCTATAAAGATCCTAATCCTAGATTTGATCCATGTGACTGGCTGGCCACGTTGATATCTTAGCCATGAACTGTTCTTCTCACCTAGCCCCTCCACTTCAATGCCTTGTCTTACTAGGTTTGGATACCACATTACAGATATAAAGGGAGAGCGTATAGGTAGCTCACTTTGAGGGCAAGTTATCCATTTCCCTCTAGGCATGGGTTATAGAGGTGGGGAAATAGCTTTTATCTATTGAATAGAATATTATGTTGATAAAGATTAAGACATTGCCTGTACCTGGTGGGAAAGAGTGCTGTGATTGATGTTTGCCATTGATCTAGGAGAAGACATATCTGCCACCATAGCTGCAGAAAAAAAAAAAGGGAGGGGAAACTAACATTTTGTGAACCTATCCAGTGTACCATGTGACAAACATATTTTCTTCTTTCTTTTTTCCCATTTAATCATCATATTTATTATGTCAAGATGGGTGTTAATCTTCATTTTTGTGGTTCAGATGTTTGAGGCCTGGAAAGGATAAATACCCTGCCCCAAATCATGGAGATATAAGGTGACAAGGCTGAGGTTAGAACACAAACTTGGGCCTTTGTTAGTAGAGCATGTTGCCTCTGCTGTTAGGTGGAAACTTCCATTTCACTTTATTTAGTAACTGGAAATAGGAATAGATATGGTAGCCCATTTCTGAATTTCTATAAACCAAAGAATTACATTAGGTGGAAAGACTACCTTGATCTTTTGGCTTGGAAATACCACTTGACAAGTCCTTTGGTTTATTCTCTATATTTATGTCCAAAAAGGATTTGATGTGAGTGATTTGGCCAAGTTTACAAACTGACTTTGAGGTTTCTGTTTCTCTCTGTTTTCTACTTCTTCCAGGTCACTCTTATTTGACTTTTAAAACAATTTCACTCTCTTAAAAATTGCCATTGCCTGGAGTCCTCAAAAATGATGAAGTAAAACTCTCCTACATGTGTTTGGGATTTTTTGGGGGGTGGGTCTGTTTTTGTTTTTGCAATCATACTTAGAATTATGAAAAGCAGACTAGTCTCTGGGAGTTAGCACAGTTGGGTTAAAGGCTCAGCCCTGCCACTGACTTCTGTCTTAGGTAATTTTCTCCTGTCTCCTGAGCCTTCTATTTCCTTTTTAAATGGGAACATTAATATCTGATTTTTTTTTTGTAAATCAAATGACATGATGTATGTGAAATTATCAGATCTTAATTGTTGATATTAGAAAAGGCACATTGGAGTGGGAGACTGAAAAACAGTCTCTTAACCTTAGATCTGATACCAATTTGCTGTGTGGCAGTGAGGAATCTCTTTCTTTCTGTGGGCCTCAGTTCTCCATTTCTAGCATACATGTTGTCAAACCAGTGAGCTGTCTGAAACCTCTTTGCCTTTATACTGAAAGTATTCCCTACTGTAAACCTCTTTCCCTGATTGGCATCAACTTATCCTATAAAAATTGGCCCAGACACCATCTTTTTGAAGCCTTTCCACTCTATTTTTGTGTCCCTTTCTGTGACCATTTAGCATTTATTACAGCAATTATTGTATTTTTATGGCATCTTATATTTTCTTGTGTGTCTTTTTTCATGAGAGTAAGCTCCTTAAGAGCAGGGACTGTCTTAACTGTAGTTTTTCTATTTCTTTATTCCTAGCACAGCATGTAGCTTGGTAATAGTAAACAGTCAATGTTTATTGAAATAACTAATTCATTGAAACATGAATGAATGGCTATTGGTTTAGAAATTTAATAGATTACAATGAATAAAAGCAGTCAAGGAAACGAAACCTTTGATCAGAGAAAAGCTAAGGGCCTGTTTAGTATGTTTTGTGTGCTTGGAGACAGTTCTTTAATCCTTGTCAACTCTGGGGAGTAGGGAGAACTTTGGGTTTGTTTTGTCTTGATCCAGAAAATAATGATTCATGGTCTCTGTTTATTTCAAAGGGAGCATAGTGAGTGTGGGCGATCCTAAGAAGAAGTATACACGATTTGAGAAAATTGGACAAGGGTTAGTATGTGCATTTTCTTTCCTTGGAGAAATGATTGAAAATTATGGGTACTGTCATATATGACTTGGTTAACTGTTTTGCCTCTCGTAAACCTTTTTCTTTCTTTAGTTTACTCATCTGGAGGTTTTATGTTAGGCTGACTTCAAGTTTGGCAGAATTGCCCTTACTATGAATTATAATGCCATTAGCTGACCATATTGCTAAAAATAACCCTGCTGTAAGAGTTAGAGAACCATTTATTAGCACAAAACCAGTATCCAAAGTTATAGGTCTGCTTTCCAGATAAACCCTGTTTGCTCTAGTGCTGATGCACTAATGCAAAATGGAAGACCTAGATCTACAGATCCTTCTGCTAGTTAGTGGTACTTACTTTTCCAGTTGAATGTCAGAATTCATGACTCCTTTCAGGTTCATCATCTGTAACTTACATGCTGTCCTCAGTGTACTGGACACTTAACTGAATTCCTTTTGTGTGCTAAGCACTGTGAATGTGGCTTTGAGTTAGACACAATCTCTAACTTCAGGGACCTGAAGTCAACAGAATGAAATAGACAGGTAAAGAAAGAAAGTATAATGTATTGTGCTAAGTCTTTTAAAAGTAATTGACCATTGTTTGAGCAAAAAAAAGCCAGACATAAAATGATAGATCTTATATGATTTTGTTAATATGGAATTCAAGGTAGAAAATTAATCTGTTGTAGTAGAAGTCAATAATGGTGATTATTTCTGGGAGAAGGATGTCACCTGGAAATAAGTATTGAGAGAATTTTTGGGGTGATCTTTGTTGTAAACATAGTGTATACATAGGTAAAAAAGTCATCAAATTGTACACTTCATATTTATGTATAGGTAAGTTACACCTCTGTGTAGAAATAAGTAGATTCTTATAGATTTACCATATGAAATGAAATAAAAATGAAACTGAAAAAATAAAAATGCTGGGCTTTGTAGTAGGTTTTCAGTGCTAATAAAGTCATTGAAATTTTGTTTCAATTTTCTTATGAACCCAAGAGCTTCTAAAAGTAGAATAAAGAATTTTATAGGGATGGAATATTTGTACAATATTCCATACTGTAAAACTGTTACTTACATCTCTTTGAATTTAATCATTAAAACAACTTTGAGTTGAGTGGTGGATGACTTTTTTGCTGGTCTCATTATTTTTCCTACTTGAGTTTTTGAGTTTGAACTGGTATAAGGTAGTTAGCGTTTTGCTTCAGAGTAATGTAGGTGGTATTTCCTTTAAGTAGTTAAATAGAGATATCAAGAATGTAGCAGAAAAGTACATGGACAAGTGTAGACAAGTCATACATATCCCTTCTATGGACTTGTCTTCATCTGTAAATTTAGAGAAGGATTGTAGATTAGGAGCTTTTCATCTCCAAAATGCCGGTTTTTAAAAAATAGATGTATGAAACCTCTAAGTAGGTAACATCTGTAAAGCATTCTTTCCTTGATTACTTGACAGGTCTGTTAGTGCTAAGAGTGAAATACTAAGAATCCGTTCTGATAGCTCTCTATATTTAATAAGTTAAAAAATACAAATGCCATACCAGTTTGATAAATTGGGACTAGTATAATTTTTGCTTGCTTTATTTCCTTTTTAAGATCTACAGATGATTATGCTTTTGGATCTGGAATTCACATATCTAGAGATTTGTCTATTTAAAATGGAAATAACCAGGTGCTAACTAGTGAGCCTGCGTAGTTTTTTAGAATTTGCAAGTGTGAAGACATAGTCTCAAAATGTTCGGTCCTCTGGGGCTTGAACACGTTTGTTCTTGTAAGAATAGTAAGAATGGTGCTTATAGTAGATCAGAGAAAGGGAAGGATAGAAAGATAGAAATCTGCTTTTTAATAGTATGTGGCGAGGGATAGGATTATCAGGCAAGTGAAGAAATAGCTACCAGTGCATATAATCTAGTCTTTATTTGATAGCCAGTATCTTAATGATCATAGTTTCTAGACATATAAGTAGGCTTCCAACTAAGGAGTGGGGTTAGAGATCTAGTAACTATAATCTCTAGCTGGAAGGCATACTTATGAGTGACTTTTCCCCTTGAATTGACCTGATTTCTGGGAAACATAATCTAAGGGCTTGCCTGAATGTATTTTTGCAAAAGACTAGACTTTTAAATATGTTTTGAAATTTACTCACCCACATATATACAGGATCTGTGGTTGTAGGCATAAAATGAGAATTTTAGTTCTTTTAAATGGACATGATTACTTTTCTAGCATTATTTATAGCCCCCCCTTCCCCTGGTACTGGGGGTTGAACCCAGGGCCCGTTTTTCTTTATTTTGTATTTTGAGACAGGGTCTTGCTAAATCACTTAAGTTGCCCAGGCTAGACTAAAACTTGCAATCTTCCTTCCTCAGCCTCCCCAAATGCTGGGATTACAAGTGTGCACTACCATACCTGTCTTATTTCTAGCATTTCTTTCTTTCACTCTACCTGTCTTATTGAGTGAGTGTGTATATACATACATACATGCATATCTATGTCTAATGGAGTTATTCTTATCTTGGAAGTGGGGCAGGAATAGTATCAGATCTGAAAACCATAGATCTAATCCTGTACTCAATTCTAGTTTGAAGCTACAAGAAATAAAAGCAACTTAATAAATGTGGTGAAGAGAGGAGGACAACCAGGAAAAGAAACTTAAAAACAATGTATTTGAAGTCAGGAGTGGTGGTGCATATCTGTAATCCTGAGAGGCTGAGGCGGGTGGATTGCCATCAGTTTAAGGCCAACCTGGGCTACAAAGTGAAACAGTGTCTCCAAAAGACCAAAAAAGGGACCAGGGATTTAGCTCAGCTATGCTACCACCTGCCTCACAAGCACAAGGTCCTGAGGTTCCATCCCCAGTACCAAAAAAAAAAAAAAAAAAAAAAAAAAATTCAGGAGAGTGGACCACTACAACCTTCAATGCTGATTACTGCCACGTAAAGCGGGAGATGGGCTGGATTATTTTTGCTGCTGTTATTAACCCTTGTACTGCCAGATTGTGTGTAGAGCTGCATTTGACAAATTCATTGAATGCCTGTGTTTTTCCGTTTCCTTCTCTTGTATTGTTCAGTGCTTCTGGCACCGTGTACACTGCAATGGATGTAGCCACAGGACAGGAGGTAAGTGTCCACCACCAACTGTTGTTTTTTCAGTTATACAGTCTTTTTATTTTGAGTTAGTTTTTAGCCCTTCTTAGCTCAATAGGGACATTTCTAGTTTCTTTCTATATCAGACTAGAATCAACGAGCAGACTTAACGTGATGGAATTTAAAGCTTTTGGAAAAGTTACTGTAGGTACAGTATGGAGAACAGAGTGCAGGAGGTAAGAGGGTACCAGGTGAGTCAAAAGGTTATTGTGTGATTTCACACGAGATGACTAAGGCAGTAGTATAGATGGAGCGAAGTAGGTGGATATGAGAGATACTTAGCAGATAGATTTGACGGGATTTGGTAATTGATGAATGTGAGAATGACTTAACAGCTGCATAATTTCATTCAAAGAGAAAGAATAAAGATGTAGGTATGAAGAAGTCAGATACTGCCTGAGAGATCTTATAGAACTGCATGTGAGCAATTACTTATTTGATGTTTAGGAGTGAAATCTCTTATAGAAAAGGTTTAAACCCATGCCTTTCAACTCCTAATCTACTGGTCCTACCATTATTCTCTACAGAATTCCACTGGAAGTTGTGGTCCTCATTTATTTGGAAGTACCTCTTTGTCCTCATTTCATTAATCTAGCAGAATTCTGACCTTACTGCTAAAGCCTGCTGACCCAAGAGCTTGTCTTCAGTAGAAGGAAATAAAAATAGAATTTTTGAGGTTTCTTTTCAGTCTGTTCTTTGGTTGATTACAAAGCAGGAATGTTGGCAGGTGGGCTGTGTTTGGCAGCTGCCTTGGAGAAATTTAGTTAAAAAGAGTACTAGAATTCAGGGTGAGATGCTCTTCTTTTAGCGAAAATAGAGTTGGGCTCCTCTGAGGGAGGCTGCTATAAACCTGTTTATATATTTTTCATGGGTTGTAACCCTCTGGTGTTCTGGAGGAGTCACAGTTAATAGGGATAGCACATAGTTCACTGGGCTCTTATTTGTCTTTTACAAGTGTTAATGCCAAATTCTGTAGCTCATTAAGGGTAAGTTAACTTTTAAAATCATCATTATGGTTAAGGATTATTGTTCTTTGAGGTAGGACTCCAAAGACACAGGTACTTGGCTTAAACTGTTTATATTACCTTAGACAAGTCATTTGACCACTCAGCCTCAGTTTTATTGATTTATAAAACATGCATGATAACATACCTCACAAAAGTGTTGCAAGAATTCAGTAAATCAGTGCATGTGAAAATACACCATCAAATTTAGGAACTGCATATTTATTTCTTTTTATTCATATAAATACTTCATAAAGCATTGACTGAGCTTTTGCTTTATGCTACATCTTGTGCTAAGAGTTATGTGAAAGATTCAATACTCTTCAAGCATTTAAACATTAAAGTTATATATAAACACAAAAGACTACTCTCTGTGGTATACATATAAAAGTCTTTAGTGCAGAGACGAATCTGCTTTAAAGTAAATAGTGGTGAGGAAGGAAGGATAATATTAGCATATCAACCTTAAGATAATGAATTTGATGGAAATAAAAAAGAGATTATACCAATCCTAAAAAGAACCCTTTGAGGTAGGTAATAGTTTCTTTTTACTGTTGAGTAGTTTGCAGCTCATGGAATAGAAAAACTCTTTTTTTGCAGGTTTTGCTACCAGAGATTAGTAGGTACTGCATTAGAATCTTTTGCTCCTAATCCTCAGCAGAGCTGAGGTTAGGCAGTAGAGCTTCCACTGGTCAGTTTCTAGCCCCTTGGGCCTTACAGCCCTTCATTGGAGGTGGGCAGGTGAAGGGTGGTTCCTGGAAGTCCTGGAGGCTGCCTTTGTGGGAAGCTGGCCACAGGAAAGAGAAATTTGACTTCATTGTTTGCCTGCCTTGTGGTTACAGAACTCTGAATGGAAGCAAGTCCATTAGGGTGGCTAATGCAGTGTGGTCAGGGAGGCCTCATTGCCTGCCCCAGGAAATACAAATCTTTGGTGGAGCTAGTGGATGCTCTCAGTCTTTGTAATTATAGGGGATTACCCAGCTAAGAAGAATAGAGGAGTTGTCTGTCACATATAGGAAGATTGGCATGTTAATGCTGGGAACTCTTCTAGTTATATTCATTATCCAAGCCTGTGGTTTTTGGTTTGTTTTTTTTTTTTTAATTGATTGATTGAGACAAGATATTGCCATACAGTTCAGGCTGGCTTGAACTCATCATTATGTAGCCCAGGCTGGCCTCAAACTTGCAGTGATCCTCCTGCCTCAGCCTCTCAAGTGTTGGGATTATAGGCATGTGTCACTATGCCCAGGCTGTTCAATCCTGTTTTTAAAGGTAAAGTGTGTAGAATAGACTAGAAGAGCCTTTGGAGTCATATGACTTGAGGGCACTGGTTATGATCTTAGGCAAGTTTCATGTAAAAATTAGCTTCAGTAGTCATGATTTTCATTTTGCAGAGTGATTAGGTTTTACTGAGATAATATAGAGAGTACCTAGTACTGGAGTCTGGCACACAGTAGACATTCAGTAAACAGTAGTGGTTGGAGTCTATTTGGTTGGTGCTGTTGTGATTACTGGTGCTGTTATTATCCTTATTGCTCAGTGACAGTTACTTATCACATGTTTCTATAACTATGATTAATGTTTTCCTTTATTAAATTCTTTATTCACATATGGATAGCACATTGACCATTGTCTGTCTTAATACTCAAATCAACCCTTACAGGAAAGGAATCAAAAGACACTGACACTAAAATAATTTGTGATTGGTAAAAGTCAGTGAGTGACAGACTCCGAGTGGAGTATGAGTATGAGTACAGTTCTTTTTTTCTGGTAGAGGAATGCTATTTCTTACCCTGAATAGATTGGGTTTAATTAAGTAAGGACATTTAGCCTGGGCCATAGTAGGGTTTGAAAAGGACTTCTTGTGTCCTGCCCAGCTTCCATGTTAGTCTCTGCCTGCAGTAATCTCTGTGAAATTGACAAGCATTTGTTTCATCCTCTAGGATGATCTAAGGAGCCCAAAAAGGTATGCTTCTGCCTCCAGTCCTAATTATAAGGGGTTCCAATTTTTTTGTTGTTGTTACTGGGGATTGAACTCAGGTCCTTGCACTTGCAAGGCAGGCCACCGAACCGCTGAGCTAAATCCCCGGCCCCAGGGTTTCCAATTCTTAATGCCTTTAAATAAATGTTTTGCTTTTCAGACATGAGGGGAAAGCTATCTTCAATTATTATTTGTATAGATAGAGCTGCAGCTAGACCAGAAGTCTGACCCATTAGGAAGCACCACTCCAAACTAACTTTTTCTTACTTGCAGTAGGGAATCGAAGTGTGCAGATATTTTAAATGATTGTTTTTACTCTTCACGTTTGACTAAGTCTCTTCAGAAGACTGTCCATATTTGGCTTGAAGAAATAAGTTTTCATAAAATGAACCATTCATTTGTTATACTTCTTGCTGCTTCTGGAAGGATAACTTAGTTGTATGAGATGCTCATTTTCTTGCCAATAAAAAGTAAAAAAGGCAGAATACCTCTAGGGAATACATACTTAGCAAAGAATTTAAATGATACTCCTATGGGATGTAGTAGCCTGTTACTGATTTTTTTCTTTTTTTGTGTGGTTTTTAAAACAAAGAACTTGTTAACCCACTGGCATTTATTTCTCTTTCTGTTTTTCTTTTCACATTTCTCTGAGTACCATGTGTGTTGTGATTCTGGACTTTGAGCTCCAGATTTGTAGACACACATGTACACAAACAAATTGCACATGTGTACATTGTCAACTTCATACAAGTTTGCCTAAGTTCCCTAAGAGAGGTATGGATATGTTCTTAGAGGGCTTTTAAAAGAGGAAAAGCTACACTTAAGAATGAGATTTTGCTTGGTCTGATGTAAAACATAAGTAGTTTCGGATGTGTGGAAGTGATAACGGGGTATTCCGGATGGAAAGAAGATCCTGAACAAAGGGAGGAAGACTGTAGTATGTCAAGGAAAAGAATGGGGAGAAAGGGTGGGAATCAGATCATGAGAACTTTGAGTGTTGGGCTGAGTAACATTTCAAAATAACCAAGATCTGTGTATTTTTGTTGTTGTTGTTGTTTGTTTGTTTTTGGTACTGGGGATTGAACTCGGGCCCTTGTGCTTGCGAGGCAGGCAGCGGAACCACTGAGCCAAATCTCCAGCCTGATCTGTGTATGTTTTGAACAAGGGAGATAATGAATATGTGCTGTGAAGAAAAATTAATCTGTCTGTGTGTTCAGGATAAAATAAGAATAAAAGAAACTTTTGAAGGTTCTAATTCTGACTTTTCTACTGAATAGCTATATATGCAAATCCCATAACCTCTTGGAATCACATTTTCCTCATCAGTTGAAAAGTCAGTCATACTGAACATACAAGTTGTCTCTGAGAATTAGGTGAAATAACAAACTTGAGAACTCCATATATAATACTTGACACATAGAAGAAATGACTACAAAGTGCTTTGGAAACTAAAGAACACCTTATATTTGTATTAGGTGAAACTGCTTTATTTGCTGTATGTAGACAAAAAAAAACTATCAAGATCCTTTTCACACAAAACATTAAGGATCTCATCTCCTTTTTCTCCTCTTAAACTGATCAACTCTGATTTATCTTTCCATACCATGTTCAGAAAGTTGCCTCCCCATGGAAGTCTATACATTTGCAAATTGAGAGTTCTTGCCCTATTCTGTGTTTCTGCCCACCCCCCCAGAACAAGCTAGCGACACTGTATCATAGAGTTACATCTCCAGGTCTTTTTTTCATTTTTTATCTTCAGACAGAATCTCACTCTGTTACCCAGGTAGGTCTTAAACTTGTGATCCTTCTGTCTCAGCCTCCCTCAATGCTGAAATTATAGGCATAGACCACCAAGTCTAGCTTCTGTAGCTCTTTGTATGAACTTTTTTGTAGTATATTTTTTATATTATGATTTTTAAAAGTATTTTTCTACATGCAAGTTTGATACTAAAACGTTAGTGTGTATCAGTGATTTAGAGGGGTTATTAAAACACCAATTTCTAATTCAATAGATTTTGGGATGAGGCTGAAAATATTTGTTTCCAACCCTTTCTCAGATGTTGATGCTGCTGTCTTGGGGACTTCACTTTGATAAACATTTGTTTAACATTGATAAATTATGAATTACTTGAGAACTAAGACTGTACCTTATTTGTCTTTATTTCCTTAGTACTTTAAAGGTTGAGTGACTTTGGTTACACATTGAATGTATTGTGATTTCAGGTGGCCATTAAGCAGATGAATCTTCAGCAGCAGCCGAAGAAAGAACTCATTATTAATGAGATCCTGGTCATGAGGGAAAACAAGAACCCAAATATTGTGAACTACTTGGATAGGTATGGAATGGTGGATCGGTTGGAGGGATGGAGACTTTGGGACCAGTGGGTTAGAAGAGAAAGCCATACCAGCACCCAGAACTGCCTCAATTTAAGTGTCTTCTGTGATCCTGAGCTCTTTACATCCAACCTTACGTATTGCTGGACACTTCTGATTGCTGGACAATCCTTCAGGGTGAGGCTAACATTTGATAACTCGTATTACTGTTTGTTCTGTCTTAGGAAAGTCCTTCCGCCCTTCTGCCTGAGTCAAACAGCTAGGTCCTTAATTTATTCTCTATCAAAAATCTTTCTTTACTCTCCTCATTCTCCAGAATAGTTTGTGGTTTGGCTTTATGCTTTTGCTTTTTTTTTTGGTACCGAGTATCGAACTTGGGTCCTTGTGTTTGCGAGGCAGGCGGCGGAACCACTGCGTTAAATCCCTGGCCTTTATGCTTTTAAAATGTGATACTTGTATATTTTTTTAGCATATATTTTAATTAAATTGGAATTTCTTGTCCAAGTTTCAGAGACAACATAGGTAGATATTGGACTAAGTCTTAAACTCTTATTTATTTACTACTTATACTATATTATCAGCTACCTCCCTCATCTAGCATAGTTCATAAATGTCCGTCCTTGTTCAGTATCTAAAATACTCTGATGATTTTAAGTTTCTTTAAAGAGGAAAGGAGTTGGACTTTGACCTTCCTTATATATGATGATGTTATCTATAGAGATTAAAGTCTTCTTGGACATGATTGTAATCTCCTGAATATGGCTCCTCACTGGCTCTGAAGAATGCTTTAAGTTATTATTTGCCTTCTTATTTTATTTTTTACTTTTGTGATACTGGGAACTGAAACCAGAGATTTTGCACAAGCTATACTTAGCCCCTTTTATTTTATTTTATATTATTTTGAGACAGAGTATCCCTAAGTCACTAAGTTGCCCAGGCTGGGTTTGAACTTGTGATCCTCCTGCCTGAGACTCTGAAGAGTGCTAGAATTACAGGCATGTACCATTACGTCCAGCATGTTGGTGTGGTATAGAAAAAAATACACCTCTTCATGAGAACAGAAGGGGGTACCCTTAACCTGACATGTCAAATCCACAAATAGAGACTTTGTTTTGTCAGTGCTAAGAAACAGTCACTTGGGATCCCCTTACTCTTTCCTCACTCCATCTAAGCTAAAATTACTTTGTGAGTGGATGGTGAGAGGCCATAAAGTATGCTCTGTCAGGTAAAGAATAGGCTATTGGCAGTGGAGGAATTTTACCTAGGACTGGATTCTCTTTTGAGTCATATCATAGTCCGTTTGGTCTGTTAAAACAAGATTTCAGAGGCTATGTAGCTTATAAACAATGCAAGTTTATTTTTTTGCAGTTCTGGAACCTAGGAACCCAAAATCAAGGTGTCAGTAAATTTATTGTTGGGTAAGGGCCCACTTTCTTGTTCATAGATGGTGCCTTCTCTGAGACCTTTTATAAAGACACTAACCTCTTTCTTGTACTTAGGATCTAGCTATTTCCCAAAAGTCCCACCTGCTAATATCATCACAGTGATTAGAATTCAGTGTGGTTTTTTTGGGGGGGGGAAATAAACCCTCATTCCATAGGAGTCCAAAGAGACTACAGAAACAGTCTGTCTTATATAACGGTCCTTAAACGTTGCAAGACTTGGTCTGAGGATTTGCTCAGTGGTAGAGTGCTTGCCTAACACATGTAAGGACTTAGGTTCTATACCCAGTACTGCAGAAAATAACAGTAATAACAGACAACAAGAACAAACCAAGTAAAACACAAAGGAAAGAAAGAAAAAAGAAAAAGACTTCATTACAAAGAATGCAGTTGTATAGAAAGAGCACTAGATTAATAGTCAAGGGACTAGGATCCTTGTCTTACCCTTTGCTTGAGGCCAGTTGTCAAAATCATTTAACAGTTTCCCATCTGACCAGCAATAGCCTTACTGTCCAGGTGAAGAGAAAATGATATATCTACAGCTCAAGACAATGTTTTTTCCCAATGTAGCTTCTTTGTTCAAGGCTAGTGGAAGAGTTGTGTAGGGGCTCTCAGGTAACTTTTTTTCTTATTTGTCATATTCTACAAGTGAGGAAACATTGACCTGAGAGGTTAAGCAACCTTTTATTCATCACATAGCAAGACTGAGTGATCTAATCTCTGAGCAAAACTGTCAGGTCTAACTCCCATCAATCCATAAGCTCTCCAAGGAATATGTTACTAAACCATAACCTTGATTTAACAGAAGAGGCTAGAATCAAAGAGTAAAAGTAGAAGTCATTGTTAGCATGATGTCTATGTGTATAACACTTTAAACCTTTTAAAGAACTTTTGTTACCACCCTTTCATTTAATATTTATAGTTATCTTTATTGTACTCATGGATTTTTTCAGTAAATACTGGCATCTACTTTGCTGGCCTCTGAAGGTAGTCTTGGAAAGACCAAGTAACAGTCTCATAGATTGCAAGTCTAATAGAACTCTCAGACATTTAGTAGCTCTCCTTACTGTTCATAATGTGGGTTCCAAATCCCTTCTTTTTCAGATGTTTGCATATTTCCTATTTGGATGCTTTGAGAGGTTTGGGATTTATGCTAGGCTTTCTAATTTCAGAAGTTTTTCCTTTGTGTTGTGATGAGCTATAATTTTATTGTATCTTTAACCAGATGCTCTTAATTCTACCCTTTGGGACTTCATAGAACATGTATACTTAGTTTTATCCAGGAGCATCCTTAAGAGATTTCAAGTTAGTCATACTGTCTGAACATTCTGCTTTTTTCCAAAGTAAAGAGCCTTAAGACTTTTCTAAAGTTGGCTGAGATGGTTTTACTCTCTATGCTTATTCCTCGTAACCTAGTACAGTGGCTCATTGTACTCTTGGTTATTCCTTCTCACCCTTTATCTGTATTCCTGCAGTTACCTTGTGGGTGATGAACTGTGGGTTGTCATGGAATACTTGGCTGGAGGCTCCTTGACAGATGTGGTGACAGAAACCTGTATGGATGAAGGCCAGATTGCTGCTGTGTGTCGTGAGGTAAGGCCAAGGCCAGGCAGCCTTGAGCAGGAAGTGCGTCCATATTTCTGCTGAGGAAAGTTTCACTCCTAGTGAGATTTCTCCCAGGCTCTGTGCAAGTGGGAAAAATTAGCGTGGACACTATCATCATTCCTGTATCGTGCCTGTATTTTATAATTTCTATAATGAGTTTTTCTTTAAAGATAACTTTATTCTGCCCATTGTAGAAAAATTAGAAAATAACCAGAAAGAGTGTGTGTGTGTTTGTGTGTATATTAAGTATGTGTGTGTATTTTTTGTGGGAGAGGGGTACTGGGACTTAAACCAAGAATTTTTTGTAATGAGGTATATCCCCAGGCCTTTATGTTTAATTTTTTTTATTTTGAGAAAGAGTCTCGCAAAGTTGTGCAGGTTGGGCTTGAACTTATCATCCTCCTGCCTTTGTCAGCTCCCAAGTAGCTAAGATTATAAACATGCATCGTTCTGACACAGTATATATTTAAACATCATTTATAACTTCAATTTATATATCCTCTATCTCTTTTACATGGACATATATTTTAATTATATTTTTATTCTGCTTCCCTTCCTTATTTATGTGCTATGAAGAAAAAAAAAAGCAGTGCAAGCAATACTGGAAAATGCTATTTTTTTTTCAGCTTTGAGTTTATTGGTACATTTTAGGGATACAGTACAGTTACATTCATTGTTGGGATCTTGTACCTGGAAAATGCTATTTTAAGTAGGGCAAAGGTTTCACCATAGATTTGAGTAAGCCTCTGAATGATGTGTAGAAGCAAGCCAGCAAAAATCTAAGGTAAAATACTTCCTGGTGAAACAAATAAACAAAGCTTAAATAGAAGTGGACTCTCAAGTTATAATCAGCCTGACATACAAACAACTTAGGTTACGACCAGAATTTTAGTTTTCACTTATGATCAAAGTCTTGAGTTATGACTTGAATGCCAGCTGCTTGTGCTTCCAGATGGTCTCAGATAGAGTTAACCCTTAAAGAGTTCTGAAAGAAACATTATAACATCCTTTCTTGTGTGCGATTAATGGAGAAATCCTGGATCATTGTCTTTCTAAGCCTACTGAGATCTGCCTGTATACAGGAGAGAGACTTTGAGGACCGTGTAGAGGAGCCTAAGCCTTCAGTTGACCAACTTGAGTTACTTACAACCAGACCTCATGAACAAATTGACTTCATAAGTCAAGAGTCCACTGTACTGTAGTCTCCTTTCTCTTCATTGCTATTAAATGTTTAGGGTCTGTAATATACTGGTGTAAGAGAGGTAAACGAAAAAGTCCTCTAGAAGCCTTTCTTAAGAAGCAGTATCATCAGGGGCTAACGACATTTCCATATTTCTGTTAGAGCAAGAAGGTGAAGGGGATATTCAGAGATACTGAGGAGATTGGGTATTTTGCTCTTAAGAAACCGGAACTTTCCAGTACCTAATAGAAAACTTAGAAAATTGGGGAAAGAATAGAAAGACTAAATAAGGTTTCTTTTTTGTTGTTGTTGTTTTTTGTTTTAGTTTTTCTAGTTTTTATTTTGAGACAGGGTCTTACTAAGTTGCCCAGCCTGGGCTCTAATTTGTGATCATCTTTTCTTCAGACACCTAGAGTGCTGGGATTATAGGTGTGCACTACCACACCTAGATGAGGTTCAAAATTTTGGCAGAATGTGTTAGTGTGATTAGGGTTTCATGGTTCAACATCCGGAGGCATTTAGATGAAATTACACAATAGTATATTTAATCAGTGTTAAACAAAATAAAGTGCTATGAAATCTATACTGCTATGGAAAATATAGTCACCTTTTCATTATCAACTTTGAGATATAATAATGGAATTAATATCAGGCTAGGATTTGCATTCAGGAGCTCACTAATGCAGTGTTTCAAATGTTTTTTTGTAGCTCCTCCCAAAGGAGCCTTTTTAGATTTTAAAGAGCCTTTTAGATTTTTTTCTAATTATATCACTCCTATGAAATTTTAATACTACAGATGTGTTATTGTATACATATTTGGCTCTTTCAGGACCACAAACCATTATAATATCAAAGTTGTTTTCACCTCCAAACCCAGCAACCAACTTTCATTGGTGGAGAATATATATATATGTCTATTCGGGGAGAATGTTTTGCCTCAAATTACTCATCTATAAAATGAAATTGAAATATTCACACTCTTTGTACCTTAGGGATACTATATGAATCAAAAAGCAGTTGGTTGCTAGGTATGTGGCTCAATGGTGGCATGTTTGCCTGGCACATACAAGGCCCTGAGTTTAATTCCCAGAACAGGAATAAAAATTGATCTCACTTTATGAGCTGTGAGCAATTTGTATAATTTCTCTCTGACTCAAGTTTTCTTGTCTGTAAAGTGGTGTTCAATGATAGTTCGCTGTTGTGGGTTGCAGTGAGCATTAAATGTGGTAAGTTTTAGAGCTGGGGATTTAGCTCAGCTTTTCGGTGGCCTGCCCTGCAAGCGCAAGGACCTGAGTTCAATCCCCGGCACCAAAAAAAAAAAAAAAAAAAGTAAGTTTTAAACAAAAGCACTTATAAAGTTTTCAATGTTAAATAAACAGGTGGTATTAATATTCTTATAATAGAGACCATTATCCACTTTTTGAAACAGCTTTTTTCATATGTAATTTATATATCATATAATTCACCCATTAAAGTATATACACTAGTGTTTGCTATATTCCTAGGGTTGTACAACCATTGTCATAATGAATTTTAGATATTCTAGAAGGAAACTCCATATTGACAGTAACTTCTCATATCTGATCTTGAATTTGCAGTCTCCCTGCTTCAGCCTGCCAGAGGGTCGAGGCAGAGACTACCGTGCCTGACAGATATTTGGGTTTTTTATTTATTTTTTCCTTCTTCTCTCTATTTCCTCCCCACCTTCTTCTTCCCTCTTGTGAAAAATGCTGCTGTGAATTTTCATATACCAGTTTTTTTTTCATTAGGTTTATTGGTACATTTTAGGTATCCAGTACAGTTATATTCATCATTGTCATATACCAGTGTAGACATACATTCTCATTTCTCTTGGGTATATACATATAAGTAAGTTGTTGGTCATATTGTGACTCTATATTTAATATTTTGAGGAACTGCCAAACTTCCTTCTAAAGTGTCTCTACCATTTTGTTTCTGCCAGCAGTATATGAGGGTTCCAATATCTCAAGATCATCCCTTTGATCATAACTGTTAACATCCAGAGACCTGGGTGTCCAGCCTTCTACTAATAGTCCTTATTTTGAGGAAGAAAATCCAATTACGGACATTGGTTTGTTTTTAATTTAGCCTTTAGCATGTTCTTAGAAAATAAAGTAGTAAATTAGGATCTATTGATTTTTAGCTGTAGTATTTTTTAATTGGTACAAGCTTTAAAAAATTTAATTAGGGGTTTATGGATTTAAATCACTGCATTTAAGACAAGAACTGAGATTATCTGATCCCCCATTTTACAGCTAGGAAAACAGTATACCAGAGTAAGTTATTTAAATGATATTTTTAGTTAGGAAGTAGCAGAAGCAGCCATTTTAATATCACTATTCTGTCTCTTTGTCATGGCCTGATAAATATAGGTATTTTTAGAGGTTCTTCTCTTTCTCATAGCCTTTGCCTGTTTCACCCATTCCTAAAACTTAGAAAAATGTCTGGCTGATGGTAAGCTGAGTAGTAGAATGTGTGCTTAGTATGTGAATTTCCCTGGGTTAACCCTCCACCACCAAAACCAAAATAAAACAAAACAAAAAACTCACCTTATTGTTGATGACATGTAAATATTTACCTCTGTAAGACTTAAAAGTTCAGATGCCTACTGGACTTTTGTCTTCATGTTTCATCGGTATGTCAAACTCAGCGAATCCATAATAGTATAAACTATCCCCTTAGCAAAATAAGATCCTTGTAACTCACTGCTTCTAGGTCTCCTTCCCAAATGTGGAAATACATTGGAGGAACTCCTTTGTGTAAATGAGCTATTATCTGATGAACAGCAAAATGAAGTGTTACAAGAATGCTGAGTTAAAAGAAGACTTAGTTCTAGATATGGCTCTGCCAGTTTAGAGGCAAGTCCTTTTATTCATAGGAGCCTTCCTTTATCTTAGAATGAGGATGTTAGAGCAGAGTATGGTGGCACACACCTGTGATCTTAGCTACTGTGGAGACTGAGACAGGAGGATTACAAATTTGATGCCCAGCTGGGAAATTCAGCAAGACCTTGTTTCAAATTGAAATAAAAGAACTGAGGGAAGCCCTGGTTTCAATCCTCAATACCACCCCCAAAGAAAAAAGACAAGGAAGTTGGACTAGTGAATTTTATCTTAAGTTTTATGTTTTATATGTCCTTTCTTTCTCCCTCTACTTCTACCACTTCATTAGTGTCTGCAAGCTCTGGAGTTTCTGCATTCAAACCAGGTCATTCACAGAGACATCAAGAGTGACAACATTCTGTTGGGAATGGATGGCTCTGTCAAGCTAAGTAAGTAGGAATGATAGTGCTTCTGTCCCTGTAGGGTCTTGTCTTCTCTGGGATGGTAAACATAGAGTAGTAACTATAGCATTCATCAGTCTTTATTATTTCCTGGGTTAGTATGCCCTCTTTATATCACCCATAAAATATTTTTTATTATTATTTTATTATTTTTCCACTCTTTTATACATTTAGCCATTTTTTTTTGTATCCTTATTTTGTGCTAGGTCCCATGATTGGCCTTGGGTTACATTTTGTTAACCTTCAAGGAATTCTCAGTCTAGTATGACAGTCTTGTAATGAATAATTTGAAAGGAATTTTGTGTCATTTCTTTCATTCAATTGTGTATTTGGCACACAGACTATATACCTGAATACCTAGGGATACAAAGATGAGTAAGAAGAGTAAGAAAAAACAAGGAAGTTGGATTAGTGAATTTTATCTTAAGTTTTATGTTTTATATGTCCTTTCTGTGTCCCCTCTACCTCTTTACTATCGAAGATCTCCAGAGGTTTTTGTTCAAAAATGTAAAGACAAGTTGTCTAGGCAAACAAGGTCTTTCAGGTGGATGGGTAGTTTATGAGAGGACTACTAGCAACCTCTGGCTTGAGGTACTAAGTGAGGAAATGATAAAAACAGGGCTTTCCCTAGTGTCAGGTGAGGGTGATTGGGGTGTAATTTGAGGACTCATGTCCAAGGAATAGGCAAGGTGTTAAATGCATATTATTGGGTATGGGATTATTAATTTTCAAGAATAAAGCAGAGTTAGGGAAAATGACTTTAATGCTGAGAATTCTGATTTGAAGAGAAAGTAAGAAGTTGGGCCGGGGATTTAGCTCAGTGGTTCTGCCGCCTGCCTTGCAAGCACAAGGGCCTGAGTTTGATCCTGGTACCAAAAATAAAAAAGAGAGAGAGAAAGTAAGAAGTTAGCGGGCATGTTCTTTTTGTTGTTCCTGCTTCTCAGGAATGAGCAAGGAATAGGCTTAGAAACTAGACATGAAAGTGGCAGTCAGGTGCCTTCTAATTGGGTGAAATAAGAGATTGCGGGCAGAGTGATACATATGGATAGGCACAAAGTCAGCACTTATGGAAGGAATAACCTAAATGTATTTTTTCCTCCCCTTTTCTAGCTGATTTTGGATTCTGTGCACAAATTACTCCAGAGCAGAGTAAACGAAGCACTATGGTGGGAACTCCATATTGGATGGCACCAGAGGTTGTGACAAGGAAGGCGTATGGGCCCAAAGTTGACATATGGTCCCTGGGCATCATGGCCATTGAAATGATTGAAGGCGAGCCCCCATACCTCAATGAAAACCCTCTGAGAGTGAGTGTTACCAGTCCTGTTTCTAGTTATTTGGGTTTTTAGTTCCAGGACATGGGACTCAGATTGTTCTCTCTCTGTGGCATTCAACCTGGTTATATCTTTTGTGAATAAAACTAAACACTGTTGAACTTAAAATATAAATGATAAGAATATGCTTGCTTTATCTTGAAGAAAACTAAGGAGGCCTGTGTCCCTGAAATGGGACAGAAGGGTGTAGTGTGGTAGTCAGAGTCAAGAGAACTAGCAGAAGACCAACAGGTAAGACCTTGTAGGCTTTTGTGAGAACTTAGCTTTTATTCTATAGAGTTGGGAATTTCATTGTAGGACTTGACTATGTCTATGGAAAAACTGTGAGAGACTTTTGCAATAGTTCAAACAAGAGAGGTCACTTGGATGATATTGGTATGAGTATAAGTGAAAAGTACATTCAGAAAGTGTCTTGACTGATCACTTGAGTAAAATGAGATGAGAAGTACAATGGATTTGTCAATGCGGAAGTTATTGATGACTTTGACAGTTATCAATAAAGTGAAAGGGATAAAAGGTTAATTAGAGTAAATCAGTGGAAGTAGGAGAAGAAAAATTGAGATAGCATTGATAAAATTTATTTTTTCTCTTGAAAGTTTTGCTATGAAAGATAACAAATGAAGTACTATCTTGAAATGCGGAAGGTGGGTTGAAAGATGATGTTTCTTTGCCTTTGGGAATGATCCAGTGAATGGGAAGAAAATGGTCTAAAACAGGAGAGAAGTGACATCCTTTAGAGTGATGTCCTTAATTAGATGAAATGGGTTGGCTCAAGTAAAGGGCATTGTATCAGGACACAGACATTTTATCCACTGTAATAGGAAAGGAAAGCAGAGTACATTAACAAAGATACAAGTAGATTGGTAATGTTTGTAGGCAAATGTGAAAGTTATCCTTGTTGCTTTTATTTTTTTATGTAATCCATCCTCCCATTCAGTGCAGGAATTTCCTGTGCATTGTCACTACCATTGTGCTGTTACCCTTAACTATGCTCACGTCACTCTTAGATAGCTCTGATTCAGTACCAAACAGAAACTAACTTGTGTAGTTTCTAGCCTTTGGTGCTAGCTTTGCTGTCTGACTACATAGAAGATATTCTTCTCTGCTTTAGGATGACCTTGCAGATTTGAAAGTGATGATCAGTGGGATGTGATGGAAATAAGACTGAAATTAGAGGACATGCACATAATTGAATGGTGTGACCCTAGGCATATAGGTTTATATTTCTGGATATAGCTTGTGACATGGGGATGATATTTCTTACCCTGTCAATTTCTCAGAATTACTGTGGTACATGTGCTTTGTATGTACCTTGTGAGTTAAAGTGCTGAGTATTTGTAAAGGTTTCTTGTTCTGTGCTTTTACCTTTCCAAAGAGATGCTTCATATTAGGGGCCAAGGAGGTGATAGTAAAACAATTTGCAGCTTAACTAAAAGTTCCTTTTTATAGTCTCTCCTACTAGAAGAAATCAGCTCTTGGTTCACTGAGGTGAAGGCACCAGAAGTAATTTCTGCCTGCAGCTAGACAGATGTGTAGCTTTTCAGGCTAGGTGAATAATAAACCCTTTAGATCTGTAATGAAGAGTAATAATAAACCCTCAGGTTTGTAACTAACTTTTTATGTTTAAAAAGTGCTTTCTATTCAGACAGGTACTAAAAAGAAGTTGGATGTAAGCAGCATGCACATGATCCATAGCCTTTAAATGTTAATTCTGACCCTTAGGTCATGTTCTTTCTATAATGCCACAGCTGCCTCTTTGAATCCTAGAGCACACAGCAGCTGACCACATTTTTAGAGGATATGTGTGTGGGGACAAAAGAGAATCCCAGTTGGAGCTCAAGGTGATTCTCCATTTATATTGCCAGGCCTTGTACCTCATTGCCACCAATGGGACCCCAGAGCTTCAGAACCCAGAGAAGCTGTCAGCTATCTTCCGAGACTTTTTGAACCGCTGTCTTGAGATGGATGTGGAGAAGAGAGGTTCAGCTAAAGAGCTGTTGCAGGTAACCACCCCTCTACAGGGAAGCACCTTTTGTACTTCATTTTTGTCTGTAAGGCTCTTTGTTATAGAGCTAAGCTTCTCTCCTGTCACTTCCCATACTCCCTCTGTGTACTTACTTTCCTATCCTTCATGAAATTTGCTTAGTGTCTTCCTTAGCCCATGAAAATTTTATACACCCTCCCAGGCTTGGCCTAAAATCTACCTTCTGAGATCATATTGAGCCTTTCCTTGGATTTTTCTTTAGCACTTCCTTTGGTTGCCTGAATTAGTCTGGGAGATTTTTTTTTTATGCTTGATGGGAAGTAGCTCTCTGAAAAGTTGAATGTTATACAAGATACATTTTATTGGGATAAACACAAAAGATGTATTTTCAGGAAAGGAACATAAATTTAGAAAGTGAAGGCAGCTTTTGGAGTCTTCAAAGTTTCGATTTTAGAAACAGATAGGGCATTGATATTCTCCTTGTTTGGAGTGAGGTTCTTCAGGGGTACAGGGAAATCCAGAGTTCACTTAAATTTTCATAAAAGTTTACCCTGCCTGATCTTGAGGTTGCAGCGTAATTAATTTATACAGTTGTAAAAACTGCCTATACCAAGCCACATCATTTGTATCTAACATTTGTGTTTTAAATACAATTTTTATATCTAGTGTCTTTTTACTATACTGCCAACTGCTCATTTAATGGAAAGTATCACATGAAGCTTCATGATGGTGATTAATTGATCTGTAAGCACTGTCATTGCTTTTGTATCATGAAGACCAAGATGACTGGGCAAGACAGGACCCAGCATACTGCTTTGTGTTAAAAATGGTTCTAAATATCTCTGTCTTTACTACTGGATTATATCCTCTATTTTATTAATCTCTCTGAGTTTCTTTTATTCAAGACCAGAGTGGGAATAGGCATTCAGAAAATATTTATTGATGAATGAGATGACTTACAGTATTTACCTACATTTTTACCACCTTTTTGTAATTGAGTCTAGCACTGACCTTTTAGAAATAAGATATGAATTCTGCCAAATGTAACCAATTAGTCTCTAGACCCTTTTGGAACTAAAAAGACCCCTTAGAACAGAGAGTACAACATAAGAATCCCTTTTAACTTTCATGAGTTATATTCTGGAAATCCTAGGCATTGGGAAGTATACAAATACTATTGTAAGCCTGTGATAGGTAAAGATTGCATTCTTAATTAGCTGCCAAACTGTAGTTATTGAAAGGTTGGTGCCCTCTAGAGTTTTTTTCCTAATATAGTAATATAACTAATACTAAATGCATTATATTGAATATTTACCACATTTTAGGCACTAAGCTCTGACTGTCGTCTTCACAAAATGCTTTTTAGTTACCAGGTTCTTTTAGTCCCATTTATTTTATGGATGGGAAAATTGAAGTTTAATTATGTTCCCATAATTTTATAGCTGAAAAGTGGTAGATCAAGTATTTCAACCTACATCTGTTTGGTTCTTAAGTGTGTGTGCTCTTAGCCTGTCCTTGCAGGTTTTGAAAATGTCAAAACTGGAAGAGCTATAGCACTTACCAAGTTTACTTTGTTTGCAGAAGGAAACTGGGGCTTGATAGTTGGGTATGATTGTTCTTGGAAAATTGTATAAATGTGATCTGAGAACACTAGCCCTTTAACTTGTTAGTGTACATTGTAAATACCCAAAGCTAAGACTTTCAGAATCTTAAATCATAACGTTTTCACATTTCTCTTATGAGAATACATGTATAGACAGAAATATATAGGATATATATTGAAATTCCTATCTTCATGATTTAGTAAGCTCTTTTATTCCTTTCATAGTAATTTCTTATTCTCAGAACCTTTATTATTGCTATCGTTATTATTTTTATTTGTTTATTTTTTTGAGGCAGCATCTTACTTAAGTTGCTCACACTGGCTTAAAATTTGCAGTCCTCCTGCTTCAGCCTCATGGGTAGCTGAGATGATGGGCATGTCCACCACATCCGGCTAGAACACAGTTTTCATATGGTATTTTCTCTTAAACTTAAACACATTTCCGCTGCCTTGTACCATTGGTGGTTCAGAGCTGCCCAGCTACAGCCCATCATGAACATGTTGAACATTGACAGTATGGCCCAAATTACAGCCCAGTGAAAATGATTTTGGGGAGGACCAAACCATGGATTAATAAGACTTACTGGATTTAAGAATAGAACAACAGATTCTGAACCAGTCATGATGATATGCATCTGTATTCTCAGCTACATAGGAGGCTGGGGTCCTTAGGAGGATTGCTTGAACCTAGAAATTCAGAACCAGCCTGGACAACACAGTGAGATCTTGTCTCTTTTTTAAAAAAATTCTGGATCATTGATCAATGTGTATTGCATTTTATGAGTAGATGTTGATCACTCAATATCTTCCCCAGAGATGATCATTACAGTGGTACCTCAGTTCAAGAACTCAGTTCTCTCCACAATTCTGAAACAAATTGGATGAGAACTGAATCAAATTTCCACATAAGGTCAACATTGAACCTAACCATTGAATTTGATTCAGTTCTTGTTCAACTCAGTTTGCTACTAGAATCATGGAAAGATTGTTGCTAGAGTATAGGGTAGAGGTATGTTTATCTATAGGTAGTTACTGCCAATTTTCCAAAATGGTTATCTCATAAAGCTATCCTTCAATTTGAGGGTGATCTGAAGTTGTCCATGCAGCACCTAGTATAAACATGGATGCCTTGTAATGATTGATAAGGAAAAATGGATAATTGTGTGTCTTTTGCTTTTTATTCTTTCTAGCATCAGTTTCTGAAGGTTGCCAAGCCCCTCTCCAGCCTCACTCCACTGATTGCTGCAGCAAAGGAGGCAACCAAGAACAATCACTAAAACCATGATCAGCCAGTCTCATTGTGCCAAGCCTTCTGTGAAATACATGCTCATTTCAGAAATTCCAGTCCCTGGCACCCTCTTCTTGCCCGGCTTCTCCCATCTCCTGATCTAGAGTTCTCAGGACTTTGATCTTTGGAAACCATGTATGGAGCACTGAAGAGAACTGAAACTGGATGACTAATCTGATGATTACTGTTTCTAAATAAGGAAGTTCTTTTCAATTTGTGAATGTGAGGTTGGTTTTTATGATCAAGGGTTTACGATACATAAATCTTGGACCTCTATTTCTACAAAGCAAAATCTCAACCATCCCTGCTCCCCAGTCCCCACAATCAGTTCTTGAAAATATAAATTTATAGTTTGGTAATACTAACAATTTGCAGTTGGTTGAGATTTCTTTAGTGCTTGCTTTTCTGTGACTGAATCTCCAGCGCTTCTCATTGTACCTGAAAACCAGAAAAGCTTGGGAATGCCATGGAGTTTAATAATGTGCCAGGGACGTGAAGTGGCTCAACTTCCTAGACCAAAACTTTTGTGCAGCTGATCCTGACATGGGAGAACTACCACATTTTTCTTTGTGTATGCTTCAGGCAGCTGTTTGGGAGGACCTTGACGCAATAGTGTTCCTCATGCTGTTTCTTGTGAAGTGATCTTGGCTATCTGGCAGCTTCTGATTCCCTGCATCCCTTAGGCTGCTGCCCCCATTCTATCCTTGTTTTATAACACTGAGAGGTTTCCGAAGGCACATGCTGAATGACAGCACAGTGAAAAGTCAGGGGGAAAAAATGCAGCTACTTTTAGAGCCAGGCTGGGTGTCAGCACCTGTCCAATTATGCTTATGTGATGTTTCAAGAACTCAGCTTCTCTTTTCTGTCTTGGACTGCTGACAGATAAATTTAGATCTTCTGGTGGCCTAAATATTTGGGTCAAAGGAAGAGGTCTCCAAATCTGATACTATATATATTAGTTTTGGATGGATTAGGTGACCTGAAATCATATCCTATCATCTATAAGGGGACCCTGTTTTCAAGATGCATGGCCAAACTCTGCAAATGGAAATGCTTACACTGGGTGTTCGGATGTTTGCTACCTCCTGCAATGTTTGTGGTTTTGGTTCTCCCACTATGGTAGGATGCTTGGCCAGCATTGTGGCTTGTCATGTCAGCCCTTTTGACCACCTTGTCATGCTCTGAGGTACCACTACCTCAGCAGCACAAATTTCTATTTCCTTCAATAAAAGGAGATGAAAATATTCTTTTAGAGTATGCCATTTTTCTTCCTTCTTTTTTGATTTCTTACATTTTAAATAGTGAATAGTGGTTCTTTCTGAAAAAATTTCAGAGTAAGTTGCAGATAGGATGCCCCTCTTTCAAGTATATCTCAGTTATATTCTTTCTTTTTTTTTTGAGGCAAGGTCTTGTTTTATAGATCAGGCTGGCCCTGAACTCACTATGTAGCCCAGCCTGACCTTGAACTCAAGGAGATCCTCCTGCCTCAACCTCCTGAATGCTGGGATTACAGGCATGTGACAAGCTGTATTCTTTCTTCTAATAATTTTATTTTAAATATAAATGAAAAGGGCCAAAAACATTTGTTCTATTTAAGGAATGTTTATAAACATGTGTATCTATCACCCAGGTCAAGAACACTCTCAATATGTCAGAACCTTCTCCATTTTAGCATTCCTTTCTCATTATAACCCCCATTATCCTTTTAGTGAGGTTAATATTCTTGCTTATCTATACTTAATCACACTCATATATTCTAATACATGTTTAATTCTGCTAGTTTTCAAACTTTAAACATATTGTTCCACTCAGAATTGTTTTAAAGAGATCTGTGTAGCTCTCATTCATTTATTGTTGCTACTGTAAGTTCTTGAGAAGAAAGATTTAATTTGTCCAAGACTAATTCCCTAAGGTCTGACTCCTAAAGGAGTTGGCTTTTTCAGAGCATTGTTGAAAATTGCTATACCCAAATGCTTAAGGCAGTCAGTCAGTCAGTCTGGTAGAGTTCTGAGGTGGCTAATAGGGCGGGCCACAGGCCTACCTATCATATTACACAACTACAACAGTAAGACAAGAGAAGTTAGGAAAAACCATTCACAGTAGCATCAAGAAAAATTACATACTTAGGAATTAAAGAAATTAAAAGACCTCTACAATGAACAATATAGTACTCTGAAAAAGGAGATTAAAGAGGCCTTTAGAAAATGGAAAGATACCCCTATTCCTAGATAGGTAATACCAATACTATCAAAATGGCCATACTTCCAAAACTGATACACAGATTTAATGCAATCCTAATAAAGTATACCATCCTCATTCTTCAGAGAACTAAAGAAAATAAAATTCACAGGGAATCAAAAGAGACCCAGAATAGCAAAAGCAATACTGGGCAACAAGAGTATAGCAGGGATCATCACAGTCCTAGACTTTAAGATATATTACAAAGCTCTAGAGTTGAAAACAGCATGGTACTGGCACACAAACAGATGTGTACTAATGGCACAAAACAGAATGCAGAAAGAAGCCCAGACACATTCAGCTATCTGACAAAAGTGGCCAAAAACATACATTGGAGGAAAGATAGCCTCTTTAACAAATGATGCTGAGAAGATTAGCTATCCATATGTTGAAATGAATAGATACTTCTCAAAAGAAGTACAAATGGCCAGTAAATACGTGAAGAAATGTTCAACATCTCTGGCAATTGAGAAGTGCAAATCAAAGCAACACAGATTTCATCCTACTCCAGAAAGAATGGCTGTCACCAAGAAGTCAAATGATAGCAAATGCTCATGAGGTTCTGGAAGAAAAGGAATCCTCCTACCTTGTTGGCAGGAATATAAACTAGTACAACCATTATGGAAATTCTGCAAAAAACTGAAAATAGTAATTCCATACAACCCAGCTATTCCCTCTCTAGGTATCTTCCTGAAAGAGTTAAAGACAGTTTTACAGTGACATATGTATACCCATGTTTATAGCAGCAGTACTCGTAATAGCTAAATCTTGAAAACAAGCTATGTGTCTGTCATCAGATGAATGGATAAAATGTGGTATTTGTGCCTAATGGTATTTATGTACAGTACTCTGCCATAAAGAAGGATAAATGAGTCATTTGTTGAAAAAATGGATCTATCTTGAGATCATAATGTTAACTGAAATCAGACACACAAATATTGCATGGTTTCTCTTATATGAGGAACTCATAAATGAAAGCAAAATAAAAGATAATAGGAAATAAGGAAGTAGATCTTTTGTAAAGATCAAGAGGAAGTGGGGAGGGAGGGATTAACAAGGAGATGAAATATGTACATGTATCAACTCATGAGTAATGTAATCATTATATATTGCAAACATGTCCTGATAAATACTGAAAAAAAGGTTACGCCCCCAACTCTGATCACACTTGACAATGTACTCTCTGACATGATATGATGGAGCTAAAAGTCAGTGTTCTGTCATGTGGATCCTAATCAAATGGGAGAAGAGGCTAGTCCTTCCTGCATATGCATATTATTTCTACCTCCTCAAGGACTGGACTCCTCCCACAGTATGACATGTGGGATCTACTAGAGCTGTGCCCCAGAAGTTGTGATACTGGAGTTTCCACACACTGCCAGCTGTCCACATCACCCGGAGTTTCCATCAATAAAGTAGGTTCCAGAAATCCAAGAGTTTGCTGTCTGATCACCTGCTCACAACCCAAATAATCTGAGAACCAAGACTCAGTGGGGGAAATTCTCTCAAGATAGGACAGCCGGCCAGCTATCTTTAAGGACAGGGGTTGTGGGCTACTAACTAGTTACAGGCAAAACCTGCCAAGCCAGTTACATCCCTGAGCATGGAGACCTAGGAGTGAAGGATATCCTTCAAGATGGTATTTCAGGATGGTTGTTTGTAAGAGCCTTGGGGTCACCTAGGAGACTTCCCTATAGAGGCTGATGAACTACTAGTTCCTCTAAATTCCTCATAATCTTCAGAGTAAATTTATTGTGAACCAGCGACTTGGGATGGTGTAGGAGTTAATGACCAAGCTCTTCAGAAATAGAATTCTGTGGTGGTTACTAATGATCTAGGAGGAAGAATCCCAGTAGGGGAACCAATATTGAATGAATTAAAAGTTCTGATTTGTGGAATATGTCTCCTGTTGACTTGCCCCTTGTGTAAAGAATGGTCCATGACCTTACCTGAGTAAAACCAATGAAATGGGACCCTTTTGTGACTTTTCTCCCCTGGCTGTGAGGCGCTGCTTCTGAATGTCCATCTTGATGAAATGCTGTACCTGTGGGTCCACTGTGCCCAGACCTGCTGCAGAAGACGAGGGATCCATCCCAACTCAAACATACTTGCTAAAATGGACTCAGCACCAACTTGCGCGTCATGACTTTTAGATTAAGGGATTAAAAGTGATGAGATTGGTGACCTCAGTGTTGCTTTTGGGGGAAAAAAACCCACAAAGGGACAGGAGTTTCTCCATGCAGTTGCTGAAAGGATACGTAGCTATTGGACTGCTTATGTGCATATCAGAAGTGTAGCCATGACATAGCTTTTCAGCTCAGAGTGTCATTAGGCTGAAGTCAGGGTGTTGGCTAGAGCTGGGCATCACACAGTGCTTGGAGTCCTCTTCCAGCCTTTCTGGTTATTGGCAAAATTAATTTCCTTATTAGACAGCAAAAGTCTGGTTTAGAAGAAACAAAGTATTATAATGTGATTGGAATCAAGCTGTGTTTCACTTTTAGTTCTGTCACTATATGTGTGTCTTTGGAGAAGCTACTTAAACCTTCTGAACCTCTGTGTACAGATCTGTGACATAATTACCTCTGAGTTTTTGAGGAAATAATTTATGTAAAATATTTAATACACTCCCTGGAACAGTAAACTCAGCCCTGTTTTGTAATGCTTGAAATGACCTGGTTTGACAAGATTTTAATGCCAACTCTGAGTACTGGAACTCAGTGAATGCTTTCTAGAAGAATAAATAACTGGGAGTTTAATTTGTACTGACACATCTTAACCATTACTGGATTTTGGCCACAGAATCAAAGGTCAATCAAACATTGATAAAAATTTTATCTGTTTGAAAATACTCCTCTGTTCAAAAGATTGAACCTCTTTTCCTGTTAAGTTGCTAAGATAAAAAGCACATAATATTAGTATTTAATTTATCAGGCTTATAGTTCAATTTGTATTTACTAGGAGTGTGTTAAAAATAAAACTTTTCATTTCAATGCCCTTATGACCTTTCACTTAAAAGGAGATTCATTGCTTTTAATAAAAGGAACCCTTGTCATTCAGGATACTGTGAATTTAGCAAAGATAATGACTGTGATATGAACTTAATGCACTGCTGAGGTACAATTGACTAGGGTCTGGCATCAAGCCTCAGCTTGTTGCCAGGAAAGACAGCAGAGACTGGTACTTGACAGGTGACATATGTAACCACAGGTCCTTTATGTCACATTTATCATTTTATATATTTAGATAGGCTCCACTTAGAACAACCCTTGACCATTCATTATAGTCCAAGCATTGAGTAGTAAGATTGTTAAAGAAATTAGAAATTCTTGAACAATGAGAAAGCTACAAATGGTTGAGATAGATACTGCTTTGACTTAAGGCTACAGGAAAGATGGGATTTGGCTGTGTTTCTATAGTACTAGCTTCTCCTTTTCCACAGAAACTTCTATACACAAAGGCCTAGATGAACATGTACCGCCCTAGATGTTTAAATAACAAGTGGCTTGTGTACATTTTTTTTTCTTTTTTGGTACCAGGGATCGAACTCGGGTCCTTGCGCTTGTGAAGTAGGTGGCAGAACCACTCAGCTAAATCCCTGACCCTTGTGTACATGTTTATGTGGATATAATTACATGTTTGCCAAACATTTTAAACAGTTCTATATGCTGTAGTAAACTGCAAACCCTTTTGTTATTTTTAGCAGAATTTTCCATAAGATGATAGTATGAGAATGACCAGTAGAAAAAATAATCTTAAGTTGGTTTGCTCCATATGGAAACTATTGTATTCAAGGATTCTACCCTACAGAAGGAAGCTGGAGTTTTGAAGAAATGACTAGTAAACTTTGTAGTTTAAAAGGTTTATGTTCACTTCTTTTTGTTAGTTTCTCCAACGCAACCTTATTTGAGTTCATCATATTTTAATTTTTATATAGGTTTAGACAGGGCCTACCAGACTTTGAAAAATATTCATTTTAAATGGACAGCTTAATTGGAAAAATAGTGAGTCT